CCTATATATGTAAAATGATCGTTTAGTTGCAATAATAGAAACAAAGAACAAAGACATAAACAAGGCAAATAACTCATATAATCAAACCTAGGAGGAAACCTGGAGATGGTGCCTCATCCCATATCCCAAAAATTGAAAAAACAAATAGTGGTTGTTCGAGGTTTACTCTTTGGTAAGCTTTTACTTCTAGTTTACAAGTTTTAAGTCTTGAGTCTCGCTTTGGTTACTCGGGGTTAGGTTCTAGGTTTGGGTTAGAGTTTTTGTTTTTTTGGGAGTGGGTTTTGGGTTTAGATCCGCATTTTAGGCTTTGGTACATCAGAGCTGGGTTTGGATCATGATTTTACTTTCTCCATTAGTTAAAGTAGGTTGCTGGCTAGGAGGATATTGAGTGACAGTGCCTGCGGCTGAGTTTTATGGAAACATTGTTGGGAGGGGTGGAAGTACGGGGCAGGATAAGGGGCATGGACTTGGGGTGAAAAATTTTGGATCCATCACACTCTTGAATACATGGAATTTAAATTACCTGAAGAATAATTTTCCAAACTGTTGCAGGTTCAGCCCTACCTGTAGGTGAAAAATGACCCTTCTTTCAGTAATAGAAACAAACAACAAAGATAAGAACACGCCAAAGAACTCATAAGATTATGCCTAGGAGTAGACCTGTGCAAACAAAGGTCGGCCCGTTTGGCCCGCCCAGCCGCCCTCTAAAAAGGGCGGATATGGACAACCTTTAATACCCAAATGGGCGGGCTGGCCCAAGCCCGAATTATATATGGGTGGATCTTGAAGTTACTTTTAACCCATCCGGGCCAACAGGCCCGCCCATATTCATCAAATATATTTACTTTATTATTAATTACCTAGCCAATATAAATTTTAAAATTTTCGATAATTTATGTATAATAGTTTAATTCACTCACCTATTTTAAACAAAAATCAATACTCTTTTAATGAATCAATATGATGGGTTTATTAAATATGCAACAATATCTCTTTTATGCTTTCTATATAAATGTGGTGACTAATTATTTTATTTTAAACATTAAAAAAGAGTTCAATGTTTTTTTTAAATTTTTTGTACAAAAAAAATTCTTGATGTTTTATCCAGGCCGGGCAGCCCGGTGGGTAGTCCGGCCCACAAAGATGGGCGGGTATGGGTAGAGAATTTAGCCCATCAAATCCGGGCCGGGCCAGGCCCGCCCATGTAAATGGGCAAATAATTTATATCAAGCCCCGCCCAGATCCGGCCCGGATCCTTATTTGCACAAGTCTACCTAGGAGGTATCTTGGAGATGGTGTCTCATCCCATCTCCCAAAATTGAATATAAATAGCCCAACGTACATGCTGAAATAATTGGCAGGGGATTATTAAGAAAAGGATCCATAAATACAAGACGAGGAATCAGAGAAGATGTTTAAATCATACTGGGAAATCTGCACATCTGATACGCAAAGCCTAGAATCTGGAAATCTGAGGTTGATAGTATTTAGAACCACAACACTTTGATAGTATTTAGAACCACAACAAAAAACAAGACAGTAAAACGCAATTGCCTTAACTCAAAAAACGACCTACAGTCTGACCTAAAAATTAAAATCCAACGGATTGCACCCGCAAACCTAACGCAAATTTGATTGTCAAACACTAAAGTTAAAAGTCAACCTAGAACCTAACCCAAAATCAGGTCCAAGCCCCAAAGTAAGAAACAAAATCCCTACCCAGAACCTAACCCAACAACCAATTGCAGGGGTGCATTAAGCTATTCCCATGTTTAAAAATTGTGAATAAGTACAAAAGCAATGAATATGACATTAACAGGCTTTAAGAATGAAGACTAACCATTGTCTGTGGCATTTGATATGGTAAATATAGCCGGTTTAGTGGAATTTGAATGTCACATGGCCTTAAGCACCTATTTGTAATAGTGTGGCTTTGATTAGAGTGCAGCAGTTCATAATAAGCCACATTTTTTGGGAGATATCCGACAAAAAGAGGAAAACGAATACCGGTACATGGCGAAATTTCCATTTTGTTGATCGGTGGAGGCGTTCAAATTTCCATTTTGTTGAAAGTACCGCCAAGCTCCAGCCAATAAAGAAGACTCGGAATGAGCCCTGTCATCAAATAGGACATGAAAGAGGTTAATAAATAAGAAAATCTCTTACCAAGGTGAATATTGTGAAATTGACTCTCCAGCCAAGTATATATGTACAGTAATATTTTTTGTTATTGTGTTGTGTTTAAATTTTAACGTGGTGGAACTCATCTACTAAAAAATAAATTTTCTACTACGTTTCTTGAGTGACAGTGCCTGCGGCTGAGTTTAATGGACACATTGTTGGGAGGGGTGGAAGTACGGGCTGGATAAGGGATATGGACTTTCCATCTTCCCTGGTCTTGGCAGCAAAGACAAATGCTCTCAAGCATCCAGCATTCCAGATCCCGTCCAGTGAAACCA